ATAAAGGAAAAATGTATGTGTGGTAGGGCTGAGGGGTCATCAGTGGCACAAGCATTTCATAGTATTTCAGGGCCCTGGTTTGATCCCCAGCACTACAAAAAATGTATGGCATTATCCTATACTGCGAGCTGACTGAACAAACAGAGGAGAGGAGGGGTTCATCCCTTTTGCCTGTCTCACTACATGAGCTGAACATCACAGCTCATTCTTCTGTCCTGGACTGAGATTTACGTCATCAGCTCTCATGGGCCTCCTAGGTGTCACGGAACTCCTCAGCTTGCAAAGGAAGATCATGGATTCCTCAGGCTCTATAATCACAGGAGCAAATTCCTCATAATAAATCTGCGTTTGTCGATGTCTAAGACTCGCTGCATAAGAGCTATGTGTAATTCAGAAGTATTTTAGCTAACGGAAGGTAACTAGAGAAGTAACTAAAGTTTGTGGGTAGCTTCCTATTGTAAAACTTACTTATAAACTGCACAGAGAACCATGTAGGCAGTATACATGCTTGTCCAGCAAGTGGAGGCCCGGAGTTCAAACCCAATACTACCAAAACATTACCTAAAGAATAATATGTAGAAATGACCAATTCCTCCAGTCACAGTTTAGTGAGGTCTTGCTACAGAAGTGGGTCTGCAAAACCAGAGCCTCACCATCACCTGGCAGCTTCTTAGAAATGCAGAATCCAGCTGGGCCTAGTTACTCACACCTGCCATCCTAGCTACTTGGGAGGCAGAAATCCAGGCCAGTCTGGGCAAAAAGTTCACAAGAACTATCTCAACCACTAAAAGCTGGGTGTGGTGGCATACACCTGTCATCCCAGCTATGTAGTAGGTGTAAAAAGGAGGATCACAGTCCATGCTGGCTTGGATGTAAATGCAAGACCATCTTTAAAAAAACAGATACATCAAAAAGGGACGGATATGGCTCAAGCAGATAGAGCACTTGCCTAGTAAGCCTGAGGCCTTAAGTTCAAACACCAGTACTGACAAGAAAAGAGAAAAAAAAGAAATATGGAATCTCAGGCCATACTGCAGACCTAACAAACTAGCATTTGCTTTTAAAAAAGATTACTGGACTGAGTGTGCTGGCACTTGCCTGTAAATCGGGCACTCAAGAAGCTAAAGCAGGAGAATCCAGTGTTTGAGCCCAGACTGGGTTACTTAGTGAGACCTTTTCTCAAAAAACAAACAAACAAATCAAAAGATCCCCAGACAATTCATATGCATTAAACATTGAGAAGAACTGGTGTAGGATACCACAATTTGCTAACTGTTCTATTGCAGTCAACACTTAGCACCAACTGAAAGCTTTCTTGATCTCTCATTAGCTCTAAATAAGAATATACACCTATAAATAGATTTATACATAAATAAAGCAAAAGTTAGTGATATACTCTGTCTTACCTATTGCAGTGATCTGAAGTCTTTCACTGCCATGCATTGTATCAGGAGGAAACAAGAAACTCAAAGTTTTCGTGGTAGTTTGCTCTTTGCTGTCAGTCAAGTCTAATAAGATGGATTGTGAATATGAGTTTTCTATACCTTCACTCTGTGACGAAAGGAAACACAATTAGCATGGTCTCTGCTCATCTGTTTACAGAGGACTGTATGCAGATATGAAGGCAAACTTCTGGCCTTTGTGGCTATAGTTCATATACAGCCAGATAGGTACCTAGCAGTTCTTGAGTCTGACTTCAAATCTGTTTAGTGTTTACTTTCTATTTAAATTAGAGGAAACATTTCGTAGCGTGGCGATAGAAATGACAAAGGAGACACTGATAGTGTGATGAGAAAACTCTGTAGGGTAGATTCTATCATTATCCAAAAAGAGGGATCAATGACCTAATCTGAAATCACATGGGCACAGTCAAACCCACAGCTATTGCACCCCAGAACACGAGGGTTTATCCATCCATCATGCTCAGCTATGTTTTTATCAGAATGTCTTCTCAAAAAAAAAAAAAAAAAAAAAAGGTTTACGAAATCTTTTACCTGCACTTAGGAACTGCAAAATCTCCTATCTGCTAATCAACTTGATGATTTATTGGATCCCATGTAACACAGTATGTAGATGTAAATGACTACAAAAGACTTGATAGTCTCTATATTCTCACTCCCTATAAAATTTTAAAAGGAAACTGGCAATTATTATATATACCTGTTATGTCTTCACATGCAGATGAGGAAACAACTGAGCATTACCAGGAGACTGGAGGAAATCACCTATTAAGTTTTTCAACAGATTTAGTGGAGGTAAGAAGCATCTTCTGTTTGCTTTTCAATTATGCATTTCCATTTATTAATTTAAGACTCCAAATATTTACCTTTACTAAAATCTTCTGGGTGATAGCATCAGAAGCAGTGGGTGAGACAGCAATGACTCTGATAGGAATGTGTGAGCTTGACAGGGAAGAGAACAGTGGCCCCATTCTCACTGGGAACAAGAATGGTGTGCTGGTACTGTAGCATTGATTTCATTTGAACTCATTAGAATATCAAATCTGTCACTTTGATCAATGATTACCTTAACCTGAAAGAAAAAAATTAAAGGTTTTCTTTAATAAATGCTCTTTAGGAAGTGTTGCCACCACTCCAACTGCTGTTAATCTGTGAGGATCAAGACTAGAGAAAGATGAAGTAAAGATTTGGAGAAAGAAGGGTATTGGGGAAAATGTTATTTTATATAGTTTTCCGTTCTCCCTCAGGATACCTGGAGAAAAGGCATGGTTTCCTTTATCTTTGAGACAGCGTCTAACTCTGCATCCCATGCTACCCTGGAACTTATGATCCTCCTGCCTCGCCTCTCAAGCGCTAGGATTACAGGCAGGTGTCTCCACGCTGGCTATGGAAAAAACACTGTTCACCTCTGTTTCTACTTCTACCAATAACACCAAATTGTCTGGTTATGCAAAGTCGTTGAGTGGTGAGGTTGTGCCGAGAAAAGCTATTTCAACTATGGGTATCCTCCTCCTCCTGATTAAACCGCCATCCTAGGAGACACTGCTCCCACTAGAAAAGTACCAGTCAAACAGAACAACGTGTCATGTCCATTGAGAACTCTGAAAAGTTATTCCAGAGTTGTATCATGATTACAAACCTTGTAAATTATGCCAAAGTTGCAAGTCTCATCACGAGCAGTATTTTTCTTAGGTTCTATAATGAGGGTGCCTAGATGAGCTTTAGGACATCTGGGAAATCTTTGCCCATTGAATAAAAGACAGTGGGACCTCCTGGCCAAGATCTGGCCAATACCATGTAAAGTTTAAGGAAGGGGCAAAACTCCTCTGCTGTGGGGGGAGTGAACTGGATGTGAAACACCCCCGGACCCCCCCACAGCCAGCTCCACAGTGGTCTGCTCCAGCTGTGAGGTGAGCCTTGGGGTTCCAGGCAGAACTTTGAGCGTTTGTTGCATTTTGAGGCTCAGCCTGGTCTTGGCAACAGCCAGAGCAGCCTCGGAGCCATGGATGGGCCCAAGGCTGTCGCCCAGCCGTACTTGGGGCTGGTCCTAAAGGACTGTTTCAGTGTTGTGACAACAGACCCTGAAGAAATGAGACCAATGCCCTGTGATTTTCCATGGGAACTGCTGCTATATGGAGCCATTACTGGACTTTTTTCCATTATATTGCTTTTGTGGAGAAGTTTTCAGTCACTTAGAAGCCGACTTTATGTGAGAAGAGAAAAAAATCTGGCCACAGAACTTTCTGGACTCATTGAAGAAAAATGTCAGCTACTTGCAAAAGTTAGCCTTGTGGAAAAAGAGCGTGATGCCTTCGTGTCATCTTTGAGGGAGGCCAGCTTTGAGCCGTGCTCAATGGAAGCACAGACTTTGGAGGCAGCCTGTGAACAGCTGAAAAGATCCAAGTCTACACTGGATGAAGTCCTCCTTCTAGAAAAACAGCTGAAAGCAGAGAAATCTAAATGTTCTAAACAAGTTGAACTGATGAAAGAAATGTCAAAACTAATACAGGCCCTAGAAAATAAATCGAAATCTCTGGAATCCAACATACTGAACGCGAAAACAACCTTAAGAATACTTCAAAACAACGGAGCACATCTGAAGGACTCAGTAAGAGATGCTCAGAAGGAAAATGCCCAGCTTCAGGAAAGCTGCGAGCAGCTTTCACCAGAAGCACAAGTGTGGAAGGAGCGACTGAGTGAACTGATGAAACAGAAGACAGCAGTTTACACTCAGTTGGGTGAAGTAGATAGAATAAAGGAAGACTTCACAGAGCATGTTAAAAATCTCCAGACTAGACAAGCCACCTTACAGGCAGAGAAGACACGGGTTGAAATTGAGAATCAGAAGATTCAGCAGAATCTTAAGACCACCACTGAACTGCAGGAAGAAAAGAGAATGACACACTGCATGAAATTCATGACAGAGGATCATTACCGGCTAGAGACAGAGAAGAAACTTTCCCAAGCACGAGAAAAGACCAGCCATGCAGAAGAGCTGGAGACCTGCAAAAAGACAGCCAGAGAACTCGAAGAAAACTTAGAGAGAACCAATCGTTATTATCAAAAGCGGACTCTTTATTATAAGAAAAAAGCTTATTTAAATTGGCTGGTAGTCCAGAATTCTGAAAAACAACTCAACCATCTTACAATGGTAAATGCCAGGGAAAGACAAAAGTTAATGAAAATGAAATTAGAATTTGAAATGCTCGAAGACCCTCATGCATTTGACATTTCACATGCAGCATATGCCAGAGAGCCTTTTCCACCTGGTGCCCCAACACTGGGCCCTGGTTGTGTTCCTCCTGTCCGAAGTCCATTGTTCCCCGTGGATCCCAGGAGTCACTTCCTGAGAAGAGGGCTGCCTTTTCCACCACCTCTGCCTTTTCCACCACCTCTGCCTTTTCCACCACCTCTGCCTTTTCCACCACCTCTGCCTTTTCCACCACCTCTGCCTTTTCCACCACCTCTGTCTGCCTTTTCCACCACCTCTGCCTTTTCCACCACCTCTGCCTTTTCCACCACCTCTGCCTTTTCCACCACCTCTGCCTTTTCCACCACCTCTGTCTTTTCCACCACCTCTGCCTTTTCCACCACCTCTGCCTTTTCCACCACCTCTGTCTTTTCCACCACCTCTGCCTTTTCCACCACCTCTGCCTTTTCCACCACCTCTGCCTTTTCCACCACCTCTCCCAGGAAGTATGTTTAGAGCTCCTCACCATTTTATACCACCAAGGGCAGTGTTTCCAATGGATCCCAGGAGCCATTTTCTGAGAAGAGGCCCACCTTTTCCACCACCTCCTCCAGACAAGATGTGTGCAGCTTCCTCAGATCATTTTACACCAAGGGGTTTCCCTGGCCCACCACATCCTCCATTTCCAGTGAGAAATGTCTCTTCACCCAGGGCTGTCCCCAATTAACTTCCCTCAAGAACTGGATGTCCCCTGCTGCACCCACATTCTCAAAGTAGAACTGAGTTTTCTTCAAGGTCAATCCTACCTTCAAACCAACCTGCTACAGAACATCTAGAACCACAAGAAGAAACATGGCAACATTTTGATCTCTTTTCAAAGTACTTTTCACTTCTCTCTTATTTTCAGTTTAAATTACTACTGTTTATTTGTATGTTCATTAGTCATTCTTTACTTTCAACTTAGTATTAATAGAAATTTAATTCTCAGAATAGTATGTTATAAATAGATGATTTAAATATGAATCTTATTGTTTTAATTCCACTTTATTTTATTTAGATAGTATTTTTAATGTTCATTTTATTCTACATAGTATAGCTATTTTCATATGATTATCTAATCCCATATGACATAAATAATAATTGGAGTTTTATGTCTGTAAGCCTACAGTGGGGCTATTTTTAACTCCAAAGGCTGTTGTCCTGATATGCCAAAAAATGCATTGTAATTGTAGACCAATGTGAAGGTAAGATCTCTTATCAAAGTACTTTTGACTGCTCTCTCATCTTCATTGTAAATTACCACAGTTATTTAGTCATTATACTTTACATCAAATTCAAGTTTAATTGAAGTATAAGTCTCAGGACAGTATTTTATAAATAGATGTTTTAAATATGAATCTTACTATTTAATTTTCACTTTATTCTGGATAGTGTAACTGTTTTAACTTGATTATTTAATTCACTATTACATAAATAATAATTGGAGTTTTATGGATATAATCTTGCAGTGGGGATATTTTAAACTCCAATGTTTGTGTCTTCATGCCAAGAAATTTATTTACTACAATTATAGACCTATGTGAAAGTAAGAGCTCTTTTCAGAATACCTTTGACTCTGTCTGATTTTCATTTCAAATTAATATGTGATTTAGTCCTTACATTTTACATCAAATTTGAGCTTAATGGAAGTATAAGTCTCAAGAATATTTTAAAAATGGATGATTTAAATATGAATCTTATTATTTTATTCTGTTCTTTTATATTTTCATTTTATTCTAGATAGTGTAACTGTTTTAACTTCATTATTTAATCCACTATTATATAAATAATTGGAGTTTTATGGATATAATCTTGCAGTGGGGCAATTTTAAACTCCAAAGTTTGTGTCTTCATGCCAAGAAGTGTATTTACTATAATTATAGACCAGTGTGAATGTAAGATCTCTTTTCAGAATACCTTTGACTCTGTCTCATTTTCATTTCAAATTAATACTGTGATTTAGTCATGATACTTTACAACAAATTCAAGCTTAATAGAATTGTAATTCTCAGGAAATTTTTATTAATAGATGCTTTAAATATGAATTTATTTTATTTAGATAGTGCATTTTAATTTCACTTTACTCTAGATCGTATAACTATTTTAATTTGATTATTTAATTCACTATTACATAGACAACAATTGGGGCTTTATGTATGGAATCTTCAGTGGGACTATTTTAAACTCCAAATGCTGTGTCTTTATGGCAAGAAATGTATTTGCTGTCATTGTAGACCAATGTGAAAGTAACTTTATGCTTAATTCAATAAAGTTGATTGGTTTAAAGTCTTGTTTGGCCTTAATAATAACAAAACCTATTAGTTTTCCATTAAAAATAAAGAATAGTATTTTTCTAGGCCATACATTTGATGAACTGTTTTCCAAGTTATTTTCTCATCTGTTTCTCAAAAGACTTTTGTGTAGATAAAAATTGTGATTCCCATTTCATAGATAAGGAAATAATAATTAAATAATTTTCTATGAATGGCAGAGTGGACACTGGGCCTGTGACTCCAGATGTTTTCCTTATTAAACTGTACCATGCTAACTATATTAAAAACTAAAAAGCTGGACATGGTGGAGCACCTCTGAATCCCCGCTATTTGAGAGGGGAAGACAAGAAGGTAATGGGATGAGGCCAACCTGGGCAAAAAACACATGTCCCTATCTGGAGAAGAGAAAAATAAAAGCAAAGGACTGGGGTCATGGGTCAAGTGGTATAACTCATTCCTGGCATGCAGAAGGCCCTGCACCTAAGAAGAAAACTAAAAAACCAAGACTGGAGTTGTGGCTTCGTGGTGGAGTGTGTCCTTAGATAAACAAGGTTCAGAGTTCGAT